CAGGACACGAACGGCTCTGAAATGCCGGCTCAGGCCCTCCCTGCAGGTCCAGAGGCACACTAACAGCTCCTCCAGGAGGTTACACTGCCTTGCAACGCCCAGGGCCAGCTCCAGCAGAGCACAAGGTGCTGGACAGACACGAAGGTCCCCACTGCACGACAGGAGTGGCAGGGGGAGGAAAGAAGAACTCTTCAGGAAAGCCTTTTTTGGGGCCAGAAGCTGGTAATTCAGCAAATGCAAAGTTTTTTTGCAGTGATGTCTTCTTTTTGCTGCAAGGTCAGCAGGTGGAAGCAATTCACCTGGAAGATCATATATTGGCAATAGTTCTCCCTTGGGCAGAGAAAGGGTTTGAGGCTACTTCATCCTCATTCCCAGCAGCTGTCCCAGTTATGCTCCTCACTGGTTTGGAGCAGTGGTGTCTGTGTCTCATTTTTTTCATTAAGAATTTCAACGAATGACTATTATACGCGTTGAAAACAATTTTTTTGAAACCTCAAACCCTCTCCAAGAGGAGCTGTCTCTCCAGCAAGTCCCAGTTGGGACGACGAGCCCATCCTGACGTGGCTCAGCAGGGATCCCAACTCAGGTGGTGGCAAACGCAGCTCAGGTGCAGCTGGTGATCAAGGCTCTGCCCCTGCTCCCAGTTCATGTGCTGGTGGGTGGGAAGAGCTCATCTGAGAGGTGAGCGTAGCTCTGAGCTCCCAAAGGAGAAAAGGGCTGAGATGGATATGTACGATCACATTCTCCATCGGGCAAGGTGTGTGGACACGGCACAGTTAACTCCAAAGTGCCACTGATAAAGCCAAACCCCTGGCTAGTGGCACGGCCTTGGGGTGGAAGGTGGCCCACGCGTCGTGTGCCTGGCCCAAGGGAGCTGGGAGGTGTCACCACACCGACCGCCAGGCCTGAAGCACGGGGAAACACCTTCAAACGTTGGCAGTCGCTTCCTCCACGCAGGAGAGCTCAGCTGGCTGCCTTTTTTGACCATCAGTAAGTACAAAACCAAAGCCGCTGCTTGAAAACAGAGCCCTGGGCCCGCTCAGAGCGACCGTCCTCACAGAGAAATGTGTGTGCGGTGTCACACGGAGGTGGCTGGGGTCTCTCCCAGGACAACTTTGTTCAAAGCTCAGATTTAACTCACAGGGTGACCAGGTCTTCCGTTACAACAGAGAATTAGGGAATCAGAGGAAACTTTCAGGCTCCTGGGCAGCCACCTCAGTGCGTGGTGGTGGTGGTGTAAGTGTGCTCCTGTGCTCTGGTCTCCAGAGAGGTCGCTGGCATTGAGACATCCACAAAATCAGCCCAGCTGCCTTTACCTCACTCCTGTACCTGCCCAGGGATCACCCATGCAGCTTGTCTTCCTTCAAGTAAACATCATCCCGTGGGACTTTCTGAAAGAGGTCCTCCATTAATGTTGAGGACTGGGGTGGCATCAGGGTGCTGTCAGTCATACAGTTGTTGATGTGTTCATGTTAAAGGCCTATTTCTGGTTTTATAACAGAAGGATTTAGCAAAATCTCCAGTTTTGCGTTACTGGGATTTTGAACAGGGCAGATGGCTACATTTCTATTTGCAATAAAGCAGTCTTTCCTCTTAATTAGATCCAGTTTCCTCCTAGGGGGGCAGTGGCTTTTGAGCTGGAGCTTTCTGTGAAGCTCTAATTAAACCCTTCCTTGATTGTCGTCCAATAATTAGACATTGATAATTTAAACTTTTTTTTTTTCTTTTTTAAAAAGATACTGAATTCCTGATCCTCCCTCCTCTCCTCTTCCCCTACCTTCCAGCTCTTGATTTTTCAAGAGCTGGTTCATGCCCTCTCTCAGCAGCCCTGTATTCTGCACCAGCCATCCCGTAGGGACAGGGTGGACCCACCTCTGCCCCATCTCTCTGCCTTTCACCTTGTTTCCCTGTTTTTCACCAGTGAGACCATGAAACTTTGGGCCTTGCTGTTGCTTCTGCCATAGTGGTGCCAGTCTTCCTTCAGCCAAAACCTCACTGAGGCAGGAGGAATGCCTTTCCCTTCTCTGCCCCTCCAAGCCCTCTGCTCTGGCACATCCCAGGTGGGTGAATCTCCGAAGTTTGCCATCGTGGAGTCTGCGTCGGGCCACATCCCTGCCCTGCCCATGGGATTTGGCCCATGATGGGTCACGGCAGCCCCTTCTCCACGCACAAGGTAACACACCCACCTGCAGCTGCCTCTGATATGCCCAGGGAAGCTCAGCCCTGCCCAGGCTCCCTCTTGCCAGGACACACCACCCCACTGCCTCTGTGTCTTGGCCCTCCCTCAGGGTGACACCAGCCTCTCCTGCAGGACAGAAACTCTCTAGTACTGCCACATCTCGGGGCAGGGTGGATGACCAAGTCTCTGTTAATGCTGCCTTGGACTTTCCCCGACACAGCAAGTCCCGTGGCCGTGCTGCTTTGGGAAAGCTCTGAGCCACGCCTGGGCCAGCTGGGGCCCAGGAGCACCAGCCCATGGCCCCAGCAAGCCACACATTCAGGGTTCTTACAAGTGAAGTTGTGAGCAACACAAGTGTAGCCGCAAGGTGCAAAGTGTGAGCAGGGACAAGCCCCAGAGCAGGACGAGGGGTACCTAGAGGTGACAGCAGCAGGGTGCTGCCGTGGCCACCCAAGCCTGAGCCGGGGAATGACAGGAGGCGCCGCGGAGGAAGCCCGGGGCTGCCTTCAGTGCGGTGCCCTCCACCAGGCAGCTCCCTGCACAGCAGCAGCACCGCCCAGGCTCTCCAAGCCACTTGATTAAGCTGCTGACAATCGGTAGGATTTGGGCTCTGAGCTTGCCTTAAACCGGTAAATCTTTGGGACAGGGAAAATTAAAGATGAAGGAATTTCCCAATAAGCCAAAGCAGCTCCAGGTCTGGCTGGGGTCCTGGGTGAGGAGAGGTCAGGCTTTCCAGCCCAAGCCAGCTGCAAGGGCAAGAGCTGGGCTAGCTGCAAGCCCCTAGCATGGGGGGGGCTGTATCCTCCCACATCAGTGACCGGGGCCCTCCTCCCGGGGCGGGCAGATTGGGGTCCTTTTGTAAGGAATATGGGGGACTCTGGGTCTATTCACACTTTGTATGCAGTGGGGAGTAACACAATGTCTTCCCACATGTGGTAAAACTGGAGAGCAAAGGAAGTGAAGGGTCCTACTACCGGGAGGAGCTCAGGATCTTTCTCCCAAAAGGACAGACCATCTGTGAGGACAGCTTGGAGATCTGTGCACAAGGGGACGCTTGGGATCCTTATCAACATACGCATCAGGTCCCTTTCTGGGGAGAAGTTTGGGTTGTTGTATGGTGTCTCTTTGAGGAGTGTTGAGGTACGTCTATGGTGGAGTTTCTTTTGTGGAGGGAGCTGAGGAGGAGCTATAGACAGGGCCACTTTGGGAGGAATGACTGGGCTTGAGCCTGTGGTCACTTCTCAGGAAATATCAAGGTAAATGGGTGGTGTCCTTCCGTGGGAAGCACTGTACCTGGGGTCTCCTTGTGCAGAGAGCTGAGGAAGGTTGGTCCTCACAGCCTGTTCATGATGCTGGAGGAAGGGGGTGTGGGCATGACATGTCTTTAAGGGGAAGCTGGATGGTCTGTTCCTGCACAGGTGCTTTTCCAGGGCTCGGGGGGTCCATGCATGGGCTCCTGTCCGTGTTGGGGTCCCTCCAGAGGCTGGGGGTTCCCCTGAAGTGGGTATCCTCTGGGGACAAGCTTGCTCAGGGATACCCTTGAGGCTGGGTAGACAGGAAGACTCACCCCTGATGTGGGGTGCCCTGGGGGATCTGAGTTCCCAGACGGCTGGTCCCAGGTCCAGCGTGCCCTAGGGCATCCTTGACTCTGTGGGACACTCCTTGTTGTATGGTGTCCCAAAGCTGGTCCTTTACTGGGGGCCCTCAAGGCTGATCCCTGGCCCAGGGTCTCCTGGGGTGCTCCAGGGCCTGGCCTGGCTCTCCTGGGATGCTCCAGGCTGCCCAGGTGTCCCAGGGCTAGGGCCTGTTCTGGGGCCCCCTGAGGTGGGTCCCTGATCCAGCTTCCCCTCTGTGTCCTAGGGAGCCTCATGTTTCCATGGGAGTCATATCTTGCCTGGGGAGTCCAGTGCCCAGAAGAGATGGCCATTCCTGGTGCTCTGTCACTGCCAGTGCCTGGCCTGGATGTCCCAGGAAGCCCTGGGCTGCCCTGGGGACGGTTCTTGGCTGGGATGCCCCAAGGCCCTGCAGGCCCTGCCCAGCTTCCTTGAGCAAACATGGTGTTCCCTGCAGCCAGCCTCTGCCTGGGGAGCCCTGGGTGCCAGTGCCTAGAGCTGGAACCTGTTCCTGGTGCTCTGTCAGGGCTAGTGCCAGGCCTGGGTGTCTCAGGAAGCCCTGGCATGTCCTGGGCCTGCTTCCCATCAGGGATGTCCTATGGATCCACAGTACTTGTACCCAGCCCAGCCTTCTCGGCAACCCTGGTGTTCCTTGTGGCCGGGGGCCCTGATACCATAGAATCATTCAATCATTCTATCACAGAATCATTCTATCATTCTATCTAGAACAATTCTATCATTCTAATCATTCTATCATAGAATGATTCTATGATTCTCGGGCAACCCTGGTGTTCCTTGTGGCCAGGGGCCGTGATACCATAGAATCATTCAATCATTCTATCACAGAATCATTCTATCAAGAACAATTCTATCATTCTAATCATTCTATCATAGAATGATTCTATGATTCTCGGGCAATCGTGGTGTTCCTGGTGGCCAGAAGCCCTGATACTGGTGCCTGGGGAGCCGTGGGTGCCAATGCCCCGAGCTGGTGCCCATTCTCAGTACTCTGTCAGGGTGAGTGCCTGGCCTGGGTGTCCCAGGAAGCTATGGGGCTGATTCCTGGAATCGTGGCCCCGCAGCGCTTGGACCCATCCCAGCTTCTTGGAGCAACCCTAGCCTTCCCCATGACCAGGGACCCCTCTACCGCGGCCCTGCCCTTGGCGCTGCCATCCCGGCAAACCCGCTCCCCCCGCAAAGAAAACCCTTCAGGGCCTGATGCCCGCCGGTGTGTGTGTGTGTGTGTGTGTGTGTGTGTGTGTGTGCGTACCTGCCAGCAGCTGCATCCAGGCGCAGATCTTGTAGACGGTGGCGGTGTTGCAGAAGAAGAAGAGAGCGAAGCAGGTGATGCAGCCCAGCGTCAGCACCATGGAGAGCAGCACGAAGAAGGCCGCCGCCTGGAAGGCGCCCGAGGGGATGGTGCTGAAGTCGGTGAAGGAGCCGCGGCACGACAGCTCCCGGCCCGCCAGCCCGCTGCCCACGCAGTAGTGGAACAGCCCGAAGTAACCGGGTTTGGGCGTGTTGACGCTGTCGCCCACCCAGTAGGGTTGGATGAAGACCACCACGTTGATGATGGCGAAGCAGATGGTGAAGATGGCCCAGAGCACGCCGATGGCGCGCGAGTTCCGCACGTAGTTGTCATGGTAGAGCTTGGAGGCTTCCTGCGAGGGCAGCATCCTGCCGGCCGCCG